AGTTGGACTGTACTATTTAACATCAAAGCTGTAATTTAAACTGCCTCACCACCTCTTCTCTTCAATATCCACAATTCACAGGACATTAAAGCTGTAAATTAGGAAAGTGGTTTAAAATACCAAAGAACCAAAGATTTTTGAGAAAAAAAAAGATTATTTATATTACTTTTTTCTTTATTTCAATAAATCATGTTTTAGTACTTTGAGATATGGTGTGAATGTTTGCATTGGTCTCTGCATATGCTGTTTCTCTTGGCAAGGTCTTAGTTAAAAAAAGGAAATGCTAGTTTCAGTGACAGTACTGTTTTTAAAAAAGAAATTAATGAACAAGGGAAAAGATCTCATACAATGGAGAACAAAGGGAGATACTACAGTAAAATCTTACTTATGGTAAGTTTTTGCTTCTCCTAAACTGAACAAAATAGCCAACTGGTTTTCTGTTACCACCCAATCAAACAAGTCATTCCACAGGTTTACTAAAGACATGTCGGGAAGCAATGCAGACCACAACACCTTCAGCACGTCTGGCTGTGGTTTGTCAGTGTCAGTGGTTAGACTGTAGAGATGGACAAGGGCCTCTCGTATGAAACACTCGCGGTCTCTGTACCTTCTGAGTGCCTCACACACCTGGTTCTCATCAGCCTCTCCTGTTACCTGGACACACATTCAGCAGCATTACAGAGAGAGGAAATGCAGTGGGAAAATTCAGAAAGAGTACAAACAGAGCCTCAAGTCAAAAATAAATGAGAAGCTTGTGCAGTAATCAGGCTTGTATTTCTACCATTGCTTTCCCTGGGTAGTAAAAGATTCTTACTTTTAGGCTTTTCTGTGTAGAAAAGAAGTCACAGGAGCTAACCCCAGTGGCTAGCAGGCCCAAAAAGACCAGTCCACTTCTGGATTCCACAAAGCTTCTGATTGCAGCTTCACTGATTCTCTTCCGACCAGAGATATCTAAAGAAACTAGTGATGGGAGGACCTGGGGAGTCCCCTCCAGAAGCTGCCGCACTGTCTCATCTCCACCTCTTCCATCGCTGTCATCTACAGAGAAGTGGTCCTCTGAAAAGTCCAGATGCTTGAGAGCATGAAGCTGGCTAAAGACAAAGAGCAGCTGGGCAGGGGACATATCCAGGTGCCGCTGCCTGTGGGCAATAAGGGATCTCAGGGTGTTTTTGCACTCAAGAAGTGCAGTGAGCTTAGAGATAGCACTGCAAGAAATATCCAGCGTCTCCAGGTGAGGGAGATTGCAGATATCCTCAAGGGCAGCATCATTTAGGTCTGTGTTGGCAAGCTTTAGCATTCTAAGGCCCTGCAAGGAGCTGAAGCCAACATGGATCCCACCATTTGCCTCTAAAGACTCCCAGTCCAGATGTAAACCGTTGAGGGACAACCTCTGCAGGCTGGATCTGCATTCTGGGTTGGAGGCCAAGCCTGAGACAATGTCAGCCCCAGTAAGACCACCAGAGACCCAGGAGGCATCTAGTTCCAGGAGCCGGTGAGGGCAAAGAGCCAGGCGGAAAGCTTCTGCAGACAGTGGGCAGCTCTGAATGGAGGCTCGGCGCAGACGGAGTTCTTTGCAGCTTCGGAAAATCCCAACAGTTGTGTCATTCAGTATCTCTTATGGGAAGAAACAAACATAGGGATATTGTAGGAAAAAGAAGCATCGGTTAAGCCATATTTATGTTTGTGGAATATACCTTTCCTACTCTTGCAATATGACAAACTGAAACCTCTGTTTACTGCGAACTAATAAATCATTTCACCTTCAATGCTTTGGAATAATTTTTCTTTCCTTCAGTTTGCCAAACAACTGCGACCACTCAGTAGCGGTAGAAAATTGATGTTTGCAGAGCTGTTTTATTTTCTGACCTACCTTTAGCTGCCATGTGATTCAGAAGCTGGTCAGCAGTCTCCTGCGGGAAGACCGGGGCCCAGATGAGGCTCATGGAGCCGTCTGCTCGCATGCTGCACAGAGAGCTCAAGCTCTGGCACACCTGAGCTAAGCAGAGGTCACAAAGCGTCGGGGGGCCCTCCGCATCCTGCAAGAACATCACCATGTATCACAATAATCACACACACACTACAGAAGAAGTATATGCTCATATGCTCACTCGACTCAAATTAGAGGGAAAACTTTACATAATATTCCATGTGATCTGGCCAAAATACAACAGTGCAAGTTTTATTATATGTCATAATTCTGTGATGTAAATGTCATATTAAGAGGTTTCAGTTTATTCTAATTGCATTTAAGCCTACATAGACCCTCCAGTTGTCTGTGTGGTCTTCCTCAGGCCTCAGCGGATCTACAGAGACACGGATCTCTAACCTTAGTCTAATTTTATCCGCCACAGATGAGTCTCCGCTCACGAGCAAAGCCTGTTTAAATCGCCTCGACCCCACCGCTTTCTGGAGGGCAAAGTGGACAATAACAACTGTTGCTTCTACTGCTCTACACAACAGCCGAGTGCTTGTCACAGAGTCGATGTGCACGAAAATAAAACCCTGGCGACATTACATGGAAGGGAATGGGGTCAAACTCACCATGCTTGAAAGTGAGAAGTCCGTAGGAAAAATGAAAAAAGTAACAGCAACACTTCGTTCACCTGCTTTTTAAACCATGTTACTCTGATTATTTATTCATTTCCTTCCCTTTAAACGAATGACAGCTAAGCAAACGCTCCTCTGTTTAGATTAAAGTCGCTACAGTTTTTCGCCAGACGTCAAACCACAAGTGTGAACTGTCAATGTCCAGCTTGTGATTGGTCAAGCCGCATGACGTCACCGAGGGCTTGGCGCAGTGTCTGTGATTGCAGGGGATTAAACGCCGTATCAATTACAAGCTTAGAGAAGTGTCTTTGGAGGTATTGCATAGATTCTAAATAGTGAGACTTAGATGGTGACATTAAGTGTTACGATTAATGTGGACTGGGTCTTAAAAAATAAAATAAAAAATATATATTTTTCCCTCTCCCTTTGATTTCATCGCATATGTATTCTCCAACTTTCCACTAGACCAGTATTTCCCCCTTACCTTCTTTAGGTGTTGGGGCAACCCAAAGTGCCTCTCATTTTTCTTGCTGAATAGGAATATGAACATGTAAATAATATAAAATAACTATCTATTACTTTTTGGACTGAATACAGCCTCCCACATTCACATAGCCACAAAGCATATGCTTACACACAAACACATAAACCAGTTACTAATTCTGATTAAAAAAAATATGGATGTTTTTGTGGAGTCTGTCAGTTCTTTTACTCCACATTAAGAAATATATTATTTTAGTTTAGCTGGGATTTTTGTTATTGTGTTTTTGCACTTTTTAAAAAAATTTATCTGCTTTCATGCATCTTCATATCTTCATTCAGAATAAACTAGTACAATTATGGTATTTGCGAAGGTGAAACTGGGTGGTAGTAGAGTAGTTCGGCCACAAGGAGGGGCTCACAGAGAGGGGTGGATTTTATTTTTTTTACCACAGTGACAGCTTAAGTCTCAAAGTTCAAAGTGAACTTTCACAGAAATTATCCACAGATACAAAGGATCAAACTCCATTATGTGCCTCCAGAATATACACTTTACATATACTTGGTTTTCAGAAATTTGAGCAGTGAGCCACTTCAGGTGGAGCATGGAAGACCAGGTGATTTGTTTAGAGTTTAAAAGAGTTTGCAGATGTTATTATGCTTGCCATGTTTTATTGTTAAAGGTTGATAATAATAATGGAATATGGGTCTTATTGATTCTGCAGGACATTTTTTCAGCTTCTGAAATGGCACGTGTTCGAAAAAGTTTGGTAACCACTGTGGAGTCTGAAGTAAAACATCATGTTAACTCAGAGAAACGGGAAAATTATGAGGAGCATTTTGCTCAAAGAGTAATGTCTGTTTTCATAATATATTTGAATAATTCTTTTTATTTTGAAAAGTAGTAAAGTCACTTTGACGTCTTCAGACTTACTGCAAAATTATTTCAAAAATAATGAACAAATTTAGAATTTGTTAGTTTTATTCATTGATATGATTTTACTTGCTCAGAAATCTGGTATTACCAAGGCTAAAACAATTTATTTACAAATTAAAGATTTACATTAATTTATCAAAAAAGCTTTTTCCTTTTCAGATTTTCAGATTTCTAAAACATTTTTAAAAAGAAAGATTTTTCATTCCTGTTTGCTGTAATTTTTCAGTTTCACCCACTGCAGTGAGACTCACTATGTCGATCACGCACAAACAAACATATGCCCTCACACATGTGTGCGTCACACATGAGCACCCACACACTTCTACACAGACACATTTCTACAATATGAATCCTGTCTTGATTACTCAGAAACAATACTGTCCTCCCACATGCTGAAGTATGCCTCCCCACACAGAGAATCCCCATGCTTCAAAGCCTGTGCTTCCTCTCCGGTCCAAAACATTTAGCTGAGGGGCGTTCTTTTTTGTTTGAAAAGCCCTGTGCATATTATCCTCATACCAAATAAGCACAGCTGCCAATAGCTCTTGGATTGCCTCTGGAGGAACACACATCCCATATAGGGAGTAAACATGAGAGAAGCACTCGCTTCCAAAAAACAGACCTCGTATTATTATGCTAGAGCTACTGGATCGCCAGAATCACTCAGTCATTAGATTCGAGTTGATAGGAAACAGATTTGCGTGGAGTAAGCAGACTGTGAGAAGTAGTTAGGTGAATGAAACTGACAGATGAATATGTGAGTGAGAGGGAGAAAAGGAAAAAGTCCATCAGCTTTCAAGCCTGACTGGCATGTTGCGTGTGTAGGAGACTGACTAACCCTGCAAACCAGATCTTGTTAGGATTTAAAAGATGGCAGAAAGATTGTTTTTTGCATGTGCCTTCACCAGTAACTGACTCACAGCCAAGTGCATTCATCACTTTGTGGTGAAACTTTATATTAGGAGGAGTCTTTTACCCAAACTGACATCAGAGGAGGAAGGCAGGGCCAAAGCCTCTACTCAGACTACAGGAGGAAAAAAAAATCACACCATCAGCCCCTCTCGTTCTGTATATGGACCACCCTCCAGTGTCCTCTTCCAGTTGACAGTTTCTGCTGGTGCCATAGCATAGTGTGCAGGCCGTTAATCTCAATGAGAACAAAGTCAGAGTGAGACTGGGAGTGAGGAGATGGGAATGGAGAACCAGCAGAGGAGGCACGCGTGAGACACCGAGCTGGGTTCTACCTGCAGCTCTTGGACCACTGATTGATCTCACTGACACAGGTTAGACTTTTGCCTGTTTTAAGAGCTCAGAGTGGCATGTGAAGTTTCAGAAACTGATGTGACAGTATGTATATTTTTGAACTATATGCGCATTATTGAATCTGTAGATCTTTGATGAATTCAAAGCACAGATCTAAATGCAATGTACTGAGTATAAACCTTCTTCTGATGGCTTTAGAAGGATCTGTGGAAGGACTGTTAATTACCTAAAGGAAATATGTCTGATGTGAACCACTTGGCCCCATTCACCATGTTTAATGTTCATGTTTAATGTTGTCTCTTTAGCAGACAGACTTAATCAGTGGCACCGTCGGAATAACTTGTGGTCTAATCCTGAAAGAAATCTGCTGGCTCCGAGCAAAAGCCACAACAAAGTTTGAGTGGGATAAAAAGGAGGGATATGTGATTTGCAATAATATATTCTGTATGTTGGTATAACCAGTTTGATGGGACCGTAGGGACTCGTACGCTGTGTTCGCAGATATATAAAAGAAAATCCTTTAATCGAGGAGCTTACCAGCACACAGTGGTGCCACTTAGAGTTAGTGGGCCATTTGGCAGAGTCCTCCTAGTTCCCTTCTCCACTGGGGAAAACCAGCCACCGCAAAGTTTGACCTGTCTGGTTGCAAAGGACTATATTAATATAGATGAGGTGGCTGGATCTGGTCAGGTCTGGCTCTGACCAAGCAACGTAGAGGTGAAAATACCCTTTTAATAAGTGAAAAAAAGAGGGAGGGAAAAATGAATGCTGTGGCCGAGTTGATGAAGACCAGCAGGGTGTGAACGACAGAGAGAAACCTGGTGGTAATAACTGCAGATGAGATTCACAGCTGCGGCTGAGGAGCCTCTATGTAAACACTGTCACTCCTGTCAGACCAGAGCCTGTGAGATTCATATTGTGGCGTTGGAGACATACAGATGGGCCAATTGCTGAGCCTTAGCTTTTGAAGGGAGGGATGACCGGTGACTACAGAAAGACAGGAAAAATGCACTCTCTGAGTAATAATAACTGACTGCCTGTGCCAAGGTGTTTTTGAAGCCCGACACATGGGCCACTTTCATTAAAGCGCCTTTTCCTTTCCTATCATATGGTTTGTGATCTATGCCAAATAAACAGAAGCTAGTTCCATATGTAAAAGCTAAAACAAGCCAAAGCTTTACTTCTATCAATGAGTCTTTGTGCTTCATGAGAACACAAAAAACTTTCCCTTGAGGCGAGCATGTTTTTTTCCCTGCAAGGATGATAAAAGGGTACTATTCTGCTACGGGAGCATTCTGAGCTTAGGTAATGCTCTGGGATCGGTCCCGTTTACTGTGGTCAGGGCTCTTCAATGCAACTAAACATCAAGTTAAGGCCACAGAAATGATTCAATGCCCCTGCTGTCTCTGCCTCGCGATCATTAATTTCTGCCTTCGTGGGCATCTGCAAAAATCCTCAGCAGATGTGTTTCAGAGCATCAGCGTGATGCAGTTCATATCATGCGCCTGTCAGAAGTGTCAGCTGAAGGTTCAGCTTCAACTCATCCACCAGACTGCCTTCTGGTTGGATTTGGCTTGACTGCCAAAGTCAGCCTGACGCTGACTCGCCGTTATTGCTCCACTTCCAGAGCCAAGCCATGTTACTGAATATGAGAAGGAGGGATCTTTCACTTAGCATGCGCCCACCCCTGCTTCTTTTCGTTGCGCTGTCAAAACCAATAAGATCAAAACACCAGCTTTCTTCCCAAAAATAGACTCCAGAAAACATTACTCATAACCCAGGAACCCCCCCCCCCTTTTTTTTTAAACTCTGCTCTTCATCAAACACGCCAATTTATTTTATTTGTCACCAAAACTCAAATGTATCTGCTTTCTAGCAGCCAGGCAGAAGTTAAAGTGAGTCAGAGAAGCCCAATGACTACCACCTGCTGCTTTCTTTGCTCATTACCGGACTAAAAATGTCTGCACCTCATGAAACACAGACTGCCACTGGATGCTTCCCTATAAGATAGCACATTCAGCATCCTCCATGACCACAGTAACACAGTTTTCTCTCAAGTATATTTTAATTTAATTTAATTTTTTCACTTGGAGTTAAATCTTTTGTCAGATTCCTCTGTTTTATCCACATAAGCTGGTGCCAGTATGGTGAAAGACTATAGGGGAGATTTGCAGAAGGTCTGAGCCATGAGGTCTACTGAAATATTAAAAACAGATCTCAGCACTTGTTCACACCCGCCCAGACACCTGATACAAATGTGGTAAGAAAGAGAACCCACGAGGGGAATGTATTTAGAATAGGAGATTTTAAATACACAGATTCCTGCTGATGAACAAACAGCTTAGTACGTGAAAACAGGTGTATCTCAATTTTCACTTTTGTAAAATCTATTTAGTTATTGGTGCTTTTTGACTAAGTTTTGCAGCCACACTGGATTAAACAGATTCAAAGGAAAAAAGAGAGCCTTTGCAAAACCTTAGTTTTCTTGTAGTCTGCCTGTTAGACAGATGATCAAATGGAAAGAGATGAGTGATGAAGATAAATATCTGAACCAACTCTAGTGGAGTCAGTTTATTTTGATGCTACCAAAGTCCTTTTAGAAGCAGGTACCCACTGATGTCCAGATCTGTGGCAGGGAATTTGCAAGGAGCTGCAGGTCAAATATGGTGTTTTCATGGAAAACTCTAGAATAACACCAACCTAATTCCTTATGTATGCAATGCGTTTCTTTTTCCTTTTCATAGATCTGTACGTTTTTTTGATAACGCATAGAGGAAACACCATGGGACCTGGAATGTGGACCGTATTTATTCTGCTTGGTCTGTCCCTCTGGAGCAACAGTCAAGCCTTTACCAAGAACCCCATCCTCTCCCGGATAAGAAGGGCCCCAGAGGCCAATGGAGAAAACAAAAAATGCTCTTACACCTTCCTGGTCCCTGAGCAGAAGATCACAGGCCCCATCTGTGCCACCCGTGGTTATTCAACCGACAAGGATCGAGTGACACGCCTGGATGTGGCCTCGGTGCGCGACCTGCTGTCTAAGCAGCGTCGGGAGATGGAAACTTTGAAGCTGGTGGTGGACGTCGATGGCAACTTGGTGAATGAGATGAAGCTGTTGAGGAAAGAGAGCAGAAACATGAACTCCCGAGTGACCCAGCTCTACATGCAGCTGCTTCATGAGATCATCCGGAAGAGGGACAACTCGCTGGAGCTGGCTCAGCTGGAGACACGCATCCTCAACGCCACCACCGAGTCGCTGCGCCTGGCATCCCGTTACAGGGAACTGGAGGCCAAATATGCAGCGCTGTCAGCAATAGTGAATAACCAGTCAGTGGTTATAGGAGCACTGGAAGAGCGCTGTATGCAGGTGTATAGTCGTAGGCATGAGCATCCACCTCTTGGACCTCCACTGGTGCAGGTGGTGCCTGAGAACATTCCAGTCAATGTGCCACGTTTCACCAACGAAATCCAGAGGTTTGCACGGGAACGAGGCTCTCGTTCCGGTCCGTCACCCACAAGCGGTACCCTGGAAGCCCAGAAACCTCCACAGAGAAACTTCAGCGCAGAAGGTTAGAGAGTTACTCATCCATCCACAAATCCATTCATTTAATCCCTGCTTCAGTCCCAAATATCCAACACAGTCATGGTAAAATGTAGAGCAGCCTTCACAGGCCAACCACAACAAAATAATAATCCAAAATTTTGAACACAGCTGCAGGTGGGCCAGTGTCCCAACTTCTAAAGGTTAAAGATTTTGTAAATTCAGCTCGCACCTCAACAGAAGGAACACAAAGCAGGATGGAAATAAAAATGCGCTAATGTCTCAATAGAGGCATGCAACCTAAAGTAGAACAAAGAAAGTCCTAAGCAGTGAGATTTTGCTCATCAACAGATCTCCCTCAGATAGTTCAATTACCTTCACCCAAGAATAATAGAGTGTGTTGAACTTCAGTGCAGCTGTGTGCAAAAGATCCTTCATAAAACTGCAACTGCATGTGAAGTGCAGACAAAACTCAGGCTGGCATTACAGGCGCCGTCCAAACCGCAAAGTAGAGGTAATTCTGTTATATAAGTGAATGGACTATACCTTTACCTTATTATCATAATGTGAGCGACTTCCTCATCCTTTCTGTAAACTCACTTCTACACCTGCCAACAATGAAAAAATTTACAATGTTAAATTAGCTTGAGAAAGGGCAGCCATTATTAAAGAAAGGTTAATAAGATATCTACTTTTTTATTACTTCAAATGAGGGAAAGTTATTTCTTATTAAAGTGACTTAATAGGCCAATTTTCTTCTACTGCTCTGTATTTAACTTTGCAGACCTACAATACATGTGTTTTATATTACTCTGTGTGCTTGTGTGACTTTTTTTCCCCGTGTTTACTGTTTTTTCCCGCATATTTCATTTTCTGTCAGACATTTCGTTCCTTGTAATGTAAACTCGTTGTCTCAGTGCTCTAATTTAATCTGCCCTATGAAACCCAATTGCGGTCGGATGATAGGTTTGGTCAAAATTGACCTTTTGTTCTCTAGAGAAGTGTGCTTTGTGAAAATGTAACATTTGAAACCACTTACCTACAAAACAGGATAAAAAAAAGAAAGAAGCCTGCAATGTTACCCAGTGATTTGTGAAGTCTTTTTAAAGCCTCAAGCTGAGCATTTACATTTTGCAATCTTGTCAATATCAAACAGGGCCATACTTACAAAATGAGCATCATGTTGTATTCAGTATTCATAAACTCAACGGAACAGTTTTTACTGATAGCGTGGATTAAGGGAGTGCTACTTTTGGTCTATACAAAAAGTAGTCCACGCTAACTACATCTTAGCTAGGTTAGGCTAACTTGAGGATAGTTTGTTAATCTAAGCTGAAGCATATTTGATTTCTTTTGGGTTTTGTTTTGTTTTGTTTATTACTAATTTTGTGCATTGAAAAAAAGAACCGAATGCTCTAAAGTCCAATTCAGTTTCTTATGTAGCATAAATAAGTTACTGGCTGAATCTAATAGTAAACAGTACTGGTAAAAGCTAACTAGCCTAGCATCCGTTTCCTTAACAATTCAAAAAGCCTAACAAACCTCACCTTCAGATTTTTGTCTCAGGTCTTTGATTTTTCTAAGCATATACAAATGTATTTTTAGTAAATCTGATTATTTTTTCCTACAAAAATGTAGAATGTTTGTCCAGCTCTTTACTTTCTTGATAGAGCTAGATTTTTTAGTTCTCTCTTACATTTATCAACTGTATCTTCTCTTATTCTCTTTTCCCTCAGGCCCATTCAGAGACTGTCTTGCAGCACAGGAGGCTGGCTACAGCACTAGTGGCATGTACCTAATCAGACCAGATGAAGCTGAGAGGCCAGTGCAGGCCTGGTGTGAACAGGACATAGACAACGGCGGCTGGACTGTCATCCAGAGCAGAAGGGATGGTTCAGTTAACTTCTTCAGGAACTGGGAAAACTACAAGGTGATGACAATTGCACTTCCTCTGCCCCATCTCTTTCCCCCTCTTTTCTTCTTTTAAAAGTGCTGTCAAATAAATACTTGGCCTATCCAGAGATAACAATGTGCTGTTATACGTTCCATCTAGAGGAACCACTGGGGTGTTTGAAACAATTCCCTGAGCCTGAATCTTCATGTATTCACTTACTGTAAGATATGTCAGCAGCACCATTTGTTGGAGATCCTTTTTTATTTTCCCATTATGAAACATTAGTTGTCCCACTAGGAAGGTATGTTCCACAGCTCAGCTGGAGCCAAATTCTTTCCAAACTGCTTCTACTACAGCACCTTCCTGGGTGGATGGTTAGTACTACACCACATCAAAAGCACAGTGAGACTGAGATTGAGTACATCATTGTTGGCAGCCTCTGCAATCCGGAGTTCCATTCAACCAGGTCAAGGCTGGAGTCTAAATTGCAATTTCCAACACTGATTTACCTCTGTACTCTCCCACAAAGCCACACACACATACACACACCACAGAGGAGGCCTCAAACTCAAAGCCTACATCATTCATCATTTGCTGGCTCCCCGAACTAATCCGCAATCACAAACCTCAACCTCTTTTACCAAGTGAAGTGTTCTGGCGGCATGTAGCCAGACATAGATGGCTGGTGGTTTTTCAACACAAGTGGCCAGGCCAGTTTCACTATTAGCAATGATCCAAGAGATCGTTGCTGTGGGGTAGGAGCAATGAAGGAGAATTTTGAAGACAGATGGCTTTTCCAGCATAAACTCTACAGCATGTCTTCCTCAGGAATTTCAAATGCAGGATGGTATCCGTATATCTCAATGTATTTTTTTTTCCTTTTTAATTTTCACTTTTCTGCAGAATCATGTCATGAGAAAGACCTTTCTCATTTGTTCCCCTGACAGTCACTCATCATCGCCCACAACTCCTTTTTATTTTCCTAAATAATCCTCATGTTTCTAAACTCCACGGGTAACCGCAGAACAAACAGTGTACATTGTTTTCTGTGATCTTTTTTGTAACTTTCCTTTTAATCTTCCTTTGACTCAGAGCGGCTTTGGCAACATAGACGGAGAGTACTGGCTCGGCCTAGAAGGCATCTACGGCCTCGGAAGGCAGGGGGACTACAAGCTGCTAGTGGAGCTGGAGGACTGGATGGGCAAGAAGGTTTACGCTCAGTACAGCAGCTTCCACTTGGAGCCAGAGAGCGAAGGCTACCGCCTGAGGCTGGGCACCTACCAGGGCAATGCTGGGGATTCTCTGAGCAGCCACAACGGCAAACAGTTCACTACTCTGGATCGAGACAAAGATGCTTTCTCAGGTAAACAATACTGTGAGATTGTCACACATAGTCTTCTCTGAAGTGTTGAAATATACATTTTCTCTTTGAATAATTGAGACCATTAAATTATTGGAATCTGCAGTCTAAGTGGTCCTTCTTGATTGGTCAAAACATATCAGAATCGACTAACAGATTCAAAAGGGAACACACTGTGACACGAGGCCAAGTTTGTTCATATCAGTGGTATATGTAAAAGATGGGATGGGTCTAACAAACTGTACTTTACACTTGCAGTCTTTCTAATTGGGTGCAGTGCAGCTGATTACAAGTTTACAAAGTTACCTCAGTAAACATTTTCACCTAATTTAATTTATAGTCTCAATACTTTGTTTCAAAATATATCACAGCAAGATGCTCATTTCATAAATATGGTTATAATTACTGTAAAATAGACTAGAAAGCAATGTATGATTTAAGGCATGGCTGCTGTATGAGCACGTGGTGTCCTCCATTTGTCGCTTTCAGAAAAGCTTTACTATCACAGTCAATTTTTCTCACTTGATAGAAAAAATAAAGTCTGGGTTCCATCGCTAGAAATACTTTTTCTGTCCATCATTATTGGCAGACGTAAAAGATAACAAAATACAATACAATGTTATGTTAAATGTGTATACACAACACAGAATGCTAATCTCAAGATAACAAAAGGACAAAAACAGAACAAAAAGGGAAAAAAACTTATAGTTTTTTTAAAATTATAGTAATGTTTTCTAGGGCAGTGCCAATTACCTCACTGAGAAGAATAACCAATATGATAACCAATTCTTCTGTTTTCCATTCGCAGGTAATTGTGCCCATTTCCATAAAGGAGGTTGGTGGTACAACGGATGTGGCCAAACCAATCTCAACGGTGTCTGGTACAACGGAGGTGTCTACCGTAGCAAATACCAAGATGGTATCTTCTGGGCCGACTATGGCGGAGGTTTCTACTCAATGAAGTCTGTCCGCATGATGATCAGGCCCATAGATTGAGAAGAATGCATAAGCCAGGCTGGTCAAGGGGCAGCTATGTAGGCCAGGGCAAACTTGACTCCATCTACATTGAGCCCAGCTTGAAGATGGAGTTTACCAATCGTCAGACAGTGACCTGAACTCTCTGCTATAAAAGACACAGATTCTGCTTGTTCTCCTTTTGATATCATAGTTGACTCAAACATAGACGGATTTACCATATTCCTATATGACTGCTCATAGGAAGCCATACTGCTCCTTTAACCACCTAATGTGTATGACCGAGAAGGTGAATTAAGAGTGTATGCCTACGTTTTTCACTAAATTAATGGTAGCTGTCTCTCTGATTAAGAAACCACAATGTTGTCTTATTAGTATATAACTTCATGGGGCAGAGAAGCCACATCATAAAGGAACTTCAGCGGCTGTGATTTCATTCCCACGGTTAGCATCGCAGGCTCTTAATGCAGCTCGTCCTACCTCGCCAACATAAACGTCTGGAGGAAACACACGTATACGGCATTTAACTTCCTATAGTTGCTGGTAGCTGGAAAAGATATTTTGTTACTACGTTATAGATTTATCTGGGCTCTGTATTCACTTCCAGATGTGAAAGAGCAACACATTAATGAGTTGGAGTTTATACATTTGATTACATGGAAAGAGTGGCGATTTTATTTTTAATCCCTACACTTAAAATGACCTGTATACTGCATGTTAAAGTACTTTGAGTGCAGAAGACCAGAAAGGATAATTTATGTGTATAATTAAGTTATCATTACAGTGAAAGGGGCCAGGTGTCCTGAGGGAAATAGTAAATGATCCTGAAGAAAATAGGACTAATTTCCTGCACTGTACGTGACAATCATTCTCCAAGTGTGCTTACACGTATGGAAATTTGTTTTATATGTTTTTCTCATTTGGCTGTTGATTAAACTTGAGTATGACTCTGTGAAATACAATCATTGTTGGGAGGGGGAATAAAAAAGATGGATTTCCGTTTTGTTTTGAGTGGTTTTCGAGCATGAAGAATATGCCAGCCGAGCGTGTTGAAAGTTATAGGCATGGGGACAGACAACGAGAAACACATTTCTGAAAGCCAGACGGAGATGGAGAGAGAAATAGAGGGAAGGAAGGGGAGGAGGAGATGAACTGGGATGGAATGGGTCCAAATTTCCAAGTTATTTTTTCCAGCCACCCAACCAGCCCCCTACCCGCACGACCATTTTTTTTTTCAAACACAGAGAAATGTACATTCTTTCCACACAAAAGTGCTTGAACTGTATGTTTTTGTAATTTAAAAAAATCTCTCCTCAACAAAGACACCAGTCCCTGCACCCTGTAATCACTGGTAAAGATGGAGAGCAGCATCCTTTTAAGGAAAACCATCCCTGAGGAGGGGGTTGCAGGGATGTAAAATGATGGGGATGCATTTGAAGAAATAGCCAGTTGTTGTATCCACAACAACACATTAAAGCCAAGCAGCCTGTAGTCTCGGATCTGAAAATAGGTTCACATGTTGTGCTCACCCACCACAATGGCCTTCACACCCATGTCTTTAAAAACTTTTATAAAGCATGAAATATGAACCAGGAACACGGGTCAAACCCAGCTGGACATGGAAACATGTTTATGGACATGTAAAAAAGCAGCCGCTAATAAAAAAAAAATGGCATTACAATCTTAAAATTAAACAGCAATAAAAGCCGATGAGTCACGATGCTTGGCAGAACAATATTACACAACCAACAGTCACTAAATGGGAACATTTAGGGTTCACTTCAGGGGACATTCTTGTTCAAGTGGTTTCAAAAGAGCTCTTTTCATAAGCTGATTTATCTGTTCACCAACTCAATAGGTTTACTTGACTTATTAATTATTAGTCCTGTTCTGTCTTGCTGGTTAAAAGTTGTTTTCCACGGCTGATTCAAACGAGTGCTATGACACTTAATAGAAGAAGGATATGCAAAATCCAAAAGTTCCAGCGAATTCCTGGACCAGTTTGCAACACTTTGAATTTGACACTAATAAGAGTTGTCTTAAATCTTTCTGGCCCTGTCGGCTTTGTGTTGATGAGCCAGACCATCACACTCTTCAAGTGGTGTCCGTGGATGACTGGTTTCAAGCAAAGTCATCAACGCCAGGCGCACAACTTTGATCACATGGAACACATGAATCCTTTTTCTTTCTTTTTCAACCATTGTGTTCTCCCTTTGACAGTCCAAAAGAGTGCTCTTAATGCCTTTATGTCTATAAATCTGTCTCATTATAACCGTCAAAACCTCTGTTTCCTGAGAGTTTGCCTGCATGCATGTCGATGTTAGTTTAGAAGACTGAATTTAATTACATCAGAATATCTTGCAAACAGTAAAATTGAGATTAACGGTACAACTCTCATGTGTCTCTAATAAATCTGAAACTTCGGCCACCTGGCGTTTAGCTTACTTTGCCATAAAACTGGAAAACACTTCCAGTCAGGATCAAGAGTTATAAAAGCAAAGCAAGTGGATCCAAAGCTTACAGATTAATGTGATATACCCCCTTTTTTTTACTTCTAAAATGAGAAGTTGAGTAGTTCTGGAAACTACCCCCATAACACTGATTCCACGCCGCTGAAAAGATGAGAAAAAAAGTGCAAAGCTATTAAAGCTGATTTTAGTTTTATTGTTTGAGGATTCTTCTGATTTTAAGAGAATTTGTCTTCTGTATAACCGTTTCTGTGCTCAAGTAAGCTAAGAGCTAGCAAAAAAGCAAATAAACGTGAAAATTAGAGGCCAAGGGCTTTAATCTGTCACAGGTCTGAAAATATATAAATGCTTATTAAATCCTTCATTTAAACATTTAGCTTCATTGAGATTGAGATCTATTTTTCAAGACAGACCTGTGAACAAAATAAAACACATACAAAAAGTTAGACAAACAGGTACATGTACACAATTTTAAAAAATGCACAAGAGTAGCTTCATAACATTTTGGTAGTTTGTTCCGTTTGTAGGTGGAGAAATATTTCAATCCAGTTTTTCCTATTTCAGTGTGAACAACAGGTACAGCTAATGTTTAAAATGTCCCACGGCCTGACATTGTAAGAGCTCCGTTTAAATTCAGTCAAGGAGATAAGCAGGCAATCTTTGCAGCAAAGAGCCTTGTAAATAAATATCATACAATGCTGCTGTCTTCGATTTACTGTACATTATCACATTTTGTTCTCTCATATAAGATACGATGGTGACCAAGAAAACAATCACCTGTAATGAATCGTAATTTACGGTAGTACACAGAATCAAGAGGCTTCAACTTGAATAGAGAAGCAACATCACCATAATCAAGCGTAGACAAAATTGGCAGATTGCACAATGATCTTACTAATCATGAATGAGAAACAAGATTTGTTTCTATGTAGAAATCCAATCTATTCCTTTAATTTTCTTAAAAGGTGTTCCGCATAAATAAAATAAAACATGCAGAAATGTGACCTACTGACATATACAAAGCATTTTTAACAAAGTATAGGCCTACTGCTTGCTGACAAGTTCGAAAGCAGGTTTAGATACCTTTCTAGAGCATGGTTGTTCTCTAAAACACTTTTTTGTGCTTTAATGCAAAATCTAGACGCCCTGTCCATCCCTGTCCTCCACTGCTACCCCCTGAGAAGCTTTACTGGATTAATTTCAATACAAATTTTCCCAGCTTGACCAAGGAAAAGGACGCTGATTATAACGGACCACCTTCCTGTTACAAATGTGCCTCTAAACCCTCAGTGAGAACAGACCCCACAAATCAGCCAGTGTGGGTTGATCCAAGTGTAGCCTTCCAATAACTTGTGCCGGTGACACACTGAACCCTCACAATTTTAAACAGCCTCACAGGGACATGGAAATGCCTGATTAACCCACAAAAACCAAACCCCTGCAAAGCCTCATGCTGGAACTGTGAAGGTGACATCCTTGGCTCCAGTGAAAGGACCACACTCAGGTCTGCACCAACTCAAAATACCTTGCCAGCAGACTGGGGATGGGCAAACGCTGCTACGGTGTGGTCCTCTGAAAACCACTGCACGTTTCAGAGGTAAAAGCCCTCCTTGTCACTAAGTGAAGGTTCACTGTCTACAGATTTCAGGCTCGGAAGATCCCTGACAGTTCGCTGCTGTTTGCTATAAAACATCTGCTGTTGGGGGAATGTCCGTGAGAGTGACTCATTAGCTCTCAGAAGCTCACTTAGTGTCAGCAGCAAATCAGCAGACAGGATGTGGAGCTGTTTTCTTTGAAAATAAGCTCCATGATGAATTTTTTGCTCTAACTGGGACGGTTAAACAAATCCGTAACTAAGTTTGTTGCTAAGTGCCCTTTTGATTTAGGGCTCAACAGACACTTGTTTAAGATGGATCATCGTTTGGAGAAATCTGGGAAGGCTCACTTTGCTGTGGACAGCTACAGTTTCCAGTCTGTCCTAAAATTTCCAGAAGAGTGATAGTGTGTTTAGCTTTGAAGCAAACAAGCAGAGGCTGAGATTGTGAAAATGATCTTTATCTTGCTGAGGGGTTTTTCTCCAAACTAAGCAGCAAATGCAACCCAGAGATAACAAACAAAAGGACATGTGAACCATAGAACATTTGCTCCTTGAGTTTCAGCTGCTTATTAACTGACATTTAGTCTGTTAAATGCATCTAATAGCAATGAAAAATTCAGATGGTTTTCATCGTTCTTGCGTTTGGCATGGCAGGCTTGTTTATTCTGCTAAAGCCGCGAAAGCCTAAGATGATCAAATGCACATCCTTTGTAAAGAAGTATGACCTCTGAACACTGCAGGTTAGTCACGTAACTGAGGACCCGCTAATAGCCTACAGTATGTCTGTACATGTTGAGTGATTGCACTCATTTTGATGAATGACATGAGTCAGATGGCCTGGTTAAGGCTTTAGAACCTCCTGGGTATGTGGGGGCAGGGGCAAGGAGGACCATCTATTTGATGACTCAGCTGTTTTTACGCCAAAGTTAAAAGAGTGAAAAACAAAAAGGGCCTCCTGGCCTAAATCTGCTCTGGAGGAATATTATCTGTAAAGGACAACATATGGAACCACGGAAATGCTTTCTGATGAGCACTGTGGAGAATTGAGGTTTCTAACCTCAACTGGTAACTCTAAAGCTACATTTTTTTGGTGAAAGCAGAAGAAATAATCACTTCATAGAAGTGTACTGGCTGATGTTATAGCCGTTGCATTCCAAAGTAGCTGTAGGTGTGAGTGACTTTTGAATTGAGTGGAAATTTTAGTGGTTATAATGGGAAGTGCGGGCAGGCATGCTTCATATTGGAGGGAAACTTCTGTGATCATTAGAAGTGTTTCTTCTGGTCTAAGGGGAGCTAAAAACAAAAAGTAAAAAACCCATAAAAACTCAAAACCTAGTCTGTAAAATGTTGAAAAAGCCTAGAGCATGAAAACAAGACAATGTGACCTTTCTCTAAGTTTGTCGTAAAAGGTTGCAACACTGCTTTACGTGATTTGTTTTGAAGGCTTTGATCACATTCTTCCCACTGGTCTTGCAAACTGACTCTGGAGTCATTCTTTATACACGTCAGCTCAGGCTCTAAAGTCGTGTTAGCACACAAATGCTGTGTTCTGAAAACTGTTCACTGTTAAACACAAAGAGCTAAGATTCTGCTTGGTAAAAGACAGACAACATTTGGGGGGGGGGG